GCCCCCCTGCAGGACCCTCGCGGCCCACCAGGGGGCCGCGGACCCCACTTTGGGAGACACTGGCCTAGAGGAAGTACTAATTGTGTAAAGTATTCTGGGGTGACTGGGTCAAATGCTCTAAAAGGTATTGAGGAAAAACCCATACTTTATATAAAAAAAATCCTTGAAAAATACATCAAATCTATTAAGCATAATTTCATGGCCTGAGCCCCATAGCCTAGAGGTAGTACTAATTTTGTAAAGTGTTTTGGGGTGACTGGGTCAAATGCCCTAAAAGCTATTGAGGAAAAAAACATACTTTATATAAAAAAATCCTTGAAAAATACACCAAATCTATTAAGCATAATTTCATTGCCTGAGCCCCATAGCCTAGAGGAAGTACTAATTTTGTAAAGTATTCTAGGGTGACTGGGTCAAATGCTCTAAAAGCTATTGAGGAAAAACCCATACTTTTCCATCAAAAGTCTTTGAAAAAACCATGAAATACAATAAAATATTAAATGTGGTAGACTAAATGTAATCTTTAGGTGTATTTTCTATCTCTTTTCATTAAAATTGTTTATTTGTATCATATTATTGATTTACACCTAAACTACATTTTTTACACAGACAGTAATTCATAGACGGTCCCTAAGTTCGAACGATCTTAGTGCTGGAGGCGAATATCCAACGTCCAACGTGAAACCAACTTCACCACATCTGTCATTTCTATTTACTGTTTTAACATTGGTTTTTGTCTCTTGTTGAACTAAAAGGACCTGCAGAACGAAGGGCTGTGTTGCGGCCTGTCTGCAGCTTCTGGGGCAGGGGAATTCTGACAAATTACTGCACTCCGCAGCTATACAGGGCGTTAGCCACTTAGCTCCGCAGCTATAGAGGGCGTTAGCCACTTAGCTCCGCAGCTATACAGGGCGTTAGCCACTTAGCCTGCAGCTAATCTAGGATACTTTGTGCTAAACAACCTGGGGCCAGCTGTAACTCTTCCCAGTATTGACTCACCACGGCCCTGTCTCTTCTGTGGACAATATAGTTGCTGTAGATTTTCTGAACAAGTGGCTGCAGCACACATTCGCGTTAGCTTTAGCGTTAGCTCTGCTGCTAAACTAGGCTGCTTTGTGCTATGTGGTGACAGTGAAAACACTCTCCTACCTCCGTGCGGGTGTCTCTCCATGTCCTGTGTCCCTCTGCGCGGCTGCTCCTCTCCTGTCTCCTTTGTGGATGTATAATTACTGCAGAAATGCATAAACTTCCCCTTGACAGAAAAGACGCTCTGTTGTCCTTCCCCACAGAGCATGCGCAGTGCTGACTTTGTGTGTGGTTGTGTATATTTTCCCGCGGTTGTGTATAATTCCCCTTTTTCCCGCGCGGGAGAAAACCACCACTAGGGGCAGTGGCGGACACACAAATTTACCACTTTTCTCAGGTTTCTGGATTAAAAAGACTTTTGAGAAAACCACTTTTTAGGCATTAAAAAATGCATAGAAAACGATTTAGAATGTAATTTTTATGAGGACAGCAAAATGTCCTCCTAAACCGGAGGGTCCTCCTTACTCGGAGAAAAGTCTTGAAAATCGGCCTCGTAAACCAGAAAACAAACACACACACACACACACACACACACGCACACAGAGAAATATTTCATCATGATTGATTATAGCTTGTCATGTCAAAATCAATTAAATAAATCCAATAGGACAAAAGACATGTTGAAAGTGTAAGTGCTCATCAAGGATATATGTATGTACAGTACAGACCAAAAGTTTGGATTTCGTCTTTTTTTTCATGACTATGAACATTGTAGATTCACACTGAAGGCATCCAAACTGAATTAACTCATCTGGAATTATGTACATACCTAAAAGAAAAAGTATGAACCAACTGAAAATATGTGTTATATTCTCGGTTCAAAGTAGCACCATATATATATATATATATATATATAGTGTGTGTATGGCATTAAAACGGCTGTTTTAATGCCATAAAACAGTTCATTCAGTTCATTTCCTCTATAAATTCATTCATGTCATTGATGGCCTAATAATAGTGTAGTAGCCTACATAGGATACAATATATGCAGCATAATATGAATAAATATATATTTATATAAATATTATTACATTAATTATGAGGCAGGGTGACCAATAGTGACAGATCTGCCAGCCAATCACGAGAGATTATACTTATTTGAAAGTAGTGATTTCATCCAATGGGGAGTAAGCTACCAATGGGGAGTAATCCCACGTGGGCTGGCCACGTGTGATTTTTCAGCCAATCACATACATATCCATTACCTACACAAAACATGTGTAGATATACCAAATTCAATTTCCATGGATATGTGAGATTTCATAACACTTTGAAGCAACTTTTGTTAAAGTTAAACTCATCATTCTATCAATGTGCAGAAGCCAGTACTTTTCCCTTGTTTTGTCTATCTGAAGGCCAAGCTACATGGCACTGTGGCAGCTGCTGATTGGAGGTCTCCATGCCTCTGCTCTGTATAATACACTTGCATTCTGTGTGTGTGTTGTTCGGGCTGTCTCTACCATCGACAATAAAACATGTCTTCTGTCTGAATTTAAGACGCGATCCCAGACTATGTCATCTTCTTCAGATATATTAACAATACTTACCAGGGTTTCCTCCAGAGGGGGAATGCAATAACATTATTTTCATTGGGATACATCTGATCTGGCTCACTGTCTAATCTATAATCTAAAACATGATGATAGTAAAAAAAATTACATAAAAACACCAAATCAGAAACTTCCATACAGGAATAATGTGTTCTGAATAGGAGTCTCCTCAGCTGAATAGCGGTTCTCTTTTTTGAGGTCTTGCAGATTTAGTTTTAAGCGTGATTTTCACTGTATATGAACTTGGTGTGTTCATCCTGATTGGCTAAGGAAGAACCAGTGTATTGTGTTCTGCGTCCTGATTGGCTAAGGGGTAATCTCTGTGCCGTGTTTCCTGTATCACAGCATTCAGCCTGACAAATGTAAATCCATGTCTGATTGCAGTGTGACTGTAAGTGTTGTATGCTAATTTTCTCCTTGACAAAACCGTGGACTAAACCCACAACATGGTTAGTGCTAAAAAGTTGAACTTCTGGACATGTTGCAACGATGACAGCAAAGAGGAGCACGGTGCGGAGCCCAGGCCTTTGACGAGGGATTTTCACACAGCACTAAGCCCATTTTTTTCAAAAAAAATTACAAATTTGATTTCAAGATTTCAAAAGGCTATAACTTTAAAGTTTGAGATAAAGGCATTTTGTAAATGAGAACTATCTTCAGTATGAACCAAACTTTGGGATGGATGTTGATTTGTCCTCTAATTTGCATATTGTGACGTCATCAAGGTGGTGGCCATTTTGGAAAATGTTAATTATTGTATAAAGATTTCAAAAAGCTGTAGTTTGAGAGTGTATTTTGAGATCAGGGAATACCATCAACAGTCTACGTGAAATATCTTTAGTATGAAAACACAATGTGGGATAGAAATAAATTCACTGATCAAATTTATATAGAATATTTTAGCACTGTGACTATGATGTGACTGTCTCTTTGTGACATGTATGTCTTTCGATGTGTGACGTGACATTGACTATATAAACTCTGTACTGCCTTTATTCTGTCTGAGAGAACGAGACAAAGTAAACCAGTGGAACTTGAGAGAAACTTAAATAAACTTCCAGAGTTTGGCGCACCACGATCCGTCTCTGTCTGCTGAATCCCTAACAGATTTGGTGGAGGATGTGCGGCTCAGTGTGCGCCATTCTCTGGATTGTTTTGAGGGAGTTTGCTTTGTTTCTTTTCCTCTGTGTGAGAGACCGGCATGCTGTGTCTGGGAGCGGAGATTCCAGCAGGCTGGAAGAGCTGTTCCTGGATGCTTCTTGTCGCTTCTGTCACTTTTGTTTTTTAAATTGAATATTCCGACGCGGAAAAGAGGTTGGCTGACCTCTTGAACAGTCCTTGGTACCTGTTTGACAAGAATAAGGTAAGCAGACACCTTTTTATATGTAAAGTCTGTATAATTGGATACTAGCTAAATTTTTGTCTGTTTTTGGGGTCTGTCAAACTCTCTAAATTGTATTTGAAGAAGTCTCGGGGTTAGAGTCCCTTTGAGAAGAAGTCTCGGGGTTAGAGTCCCTTTGAGAAGAAGTCTCGGGGTTAGAGTCCCTTTGAGAAAAGTCTCGGGGTTAGAGTCCCTTTGAGAAGATGTCTCGGGGTTAGAGTCCCTTTGAGAAGAAGCTTCAGGGTTAGAGTCCCTTTGAGAAAACGTTTTCGGGGTTAGAGTCCCTTTGAGAAAAGATAGAGAAGTTGGATCCTTAGTGAAACCATGGTATAAAAGTAAAAGCAATTTAATAAAAAGGGAAATGTGTTAAAGAGGCCTTTGTTACAAAAGCTTTGAAATTGACGAATTTCAGGCTGATAAATGACAAAAGTAAAGAAGCAACAATATTTCAGTGATCACGGTTTAAATTACATACAGAAAAATGCAGCTGAAGCGGAGGTTCAGGATGGTAGACTACCTACGTTATCACACCAGGCTTGACCACGCCTTACTCAGCCTGTCTTAATCAACTCCCCGCAGCCGTGTCAATCAAGCCAGCGTTTAAGAGAACAGCAGAGCACAGCTCACGGACTTCAAGCTGCAATGGGTTGCTCTTCGTCACTTTGTTTACTCACGCCTCGCACATTGTTCGTCCTGCATGGTCACGGCTCCTCTTCCACATCACATGTTGGGGGCTGCGCGCCATGGTCGCTGTGTCTCCACCGCGGCTCACCGCGGGTCCTCTCCTGCGGACTCGCTGTCGCTCGTCTCCCCGTGGCCGCTGCTGCTCGCTCCCAGGCGTTACTCCGCGCACCCTGCCGCTTCCATACCGGGAACGGGACTTCTGTCTGCCTGCCGTTGTCTGCCTGCCGCTGTCCACCCTTCTCCCTGCCTTCACTCACGGTACAGTGTCGGTTTCGTTGTTTTCCGCACTACCATGAACTCTACTGAACTGCTCTGCGCTTCGGCGACGCCACGTGGGTGGCCCCGCGCTTCGCCGACGCCGCGTGGGTGGCCCCGCGCTTCGACGACGCCGCGTGGGTGGCCCCGCGCTTCGACGACGCCGCATGGGTGGCCCCGCGCTTCGACAACGCCACGTCGGTGGCCCCGCGCTTCGACGACGCCACGTGGGTGGCCGCACGCTTCGACGCCGCCACGTCGGTGGCCGCACGCTTCGACGCCGCCACGTCGGTGGCCGCACGCTTCGACGCCGCCACGTCGGTGGCCGCACGCTTCGACGCCGCCACGTCGGTGGCCGCACGCTTCGACGCCGCCACGTCGGTGGCCGCACGCTTCGACGACGCCACGTCGGTGGCCGCACGCTTCAACGACGCCACGTCGGTGGCCGCACGCTTCAACGACGCCACGTCGGTGGCCGCACGCTTCAACGACGCCACGTCGGTGGCCGCACGCTTCGACGACGCCACGTTGGTGGCCGCACGCTTCGACTCCTCCTCCACGCTTCGACTCCTCCTCCACGCTTCGACTCCTCCTCCACGCTTCGACTCCTCCTCCACGCTTCGACTCCTCCTCCACACCGCACGCTTTGACGCCGCACGCTTTGACGCCGCACGCTTTGACGCCGCACGCTTTGACGCCGCACGCTTTGACGCCGCACTCGAGTGATAGTGGTTCGAGGTTTCTCTTTTCAGCTTCGCAGGAACGTGATGCCGCAACGCCGCACCAAAGCTCTGCTACGACGCCGCGACGGTGGCCTGCTGCAACGCTGGCCTGCTAAGACTGCATGAGTACTGTTCGGCGTGGCCTTCAAACCTGGCCGACTATCTTCCCCAGGCCGCACTCATTGGCTTTTGGTGTGCAGCACTGCCCGCCACGGTTTGCGTGCACTCTGAGTATGGAGCTATTATTGTTTCAATAATATTTGTGTGTGCGTAAAAAGATTTGTGCGTGCGTAACCAGATTTGTGTGTGCGTACCCAGATTTGTGTGTGCGTAACCAGATTTGTGCGTGCGTAACCAGATTTGTGTGTGTGTAAAAGAAATATTTGTGCGTGTGTAAATAGATTTGTATGTACGTATCAAGATTTGTGTGTGCGTAAAAAGATTTGTGTGTGCGTAAAAAGATTTGTGTGTGCGTAGAAAGATTTGTGTGTGTGTAAAGAAAAAAAAAAAGTACGTTTTACACACAAGTTTTTTTTTTACACACGAATCTTTTGACGCAGTCCTGCCTTCGCAGATTCGCAAGTGTAACTTGGACTGTGTGCGTGCGAAAACAGATTTGTGTGTGTGTAATTTGACATTTGTATCTGTAGCAGAACAATCTGTGTGTAAATAACCGCGTTGTACAAAGAGAAGAACGAAAAAAGCCTAAGTGCTACGCACAGGCTCTGTTTTACACACGAATCTCTTTTTGACACACCTCTGCCGCCAAGCGTGTGTCAAAAAGATTTGTAAGTGTAATGTGGTTGTTCTAGCAGTACACCAGCAGATGGTGCTGTTGTAGCTGGTTATTACCTACACGCAAGCAAACCAAAACCTACTGCCTTGACAAGACACACTACCGCAGCTGTTTATGATATTTTTTTCCTATTTTCAAAATCCTGTCATTCACACCACTGTATGATACATGGATCTATTATAATAACTGGATAGGGTGTTACTAGCTTGGAGCTGAAGGATTCTCACGTACTGCAGACTAAATTCACATTGGCAACACAGAAATTTTCCCCATAGAACTCAAAGTAAACTAAAACAGCTGACAGATAACCTACAGCTTTCATAAAGGTCGGATTTTGTGGGAATTTTAGTGTTCCTTGTAATCCTGAACTTTTCTTCTTCTTAAATCCTTCGGTTTTCTCTATCTACACTTGTTGGTTTGCTTGCGTGTAGGTAATAACCAGCTACAACAGCACCATCTGCTGGTGTACTGCTAGAACAACCACATTACACTTACAAATCTTTTTGACACACGCTTGGCGGCAGAGGTGTGTCAAAAAGAGATTCGTGTGTAAAACAGAGCCTGTGCGTAGCACTTAGGCTTTTTCCCGTTCTTCTCTTTGTACAACGCGGTTATTTACACACAGATTGTTCTGTTACAGATACAAATGTCAAATTACACACACACAAATCTGATTACGCACGCACACAGTCCAAGTTACACTTGCGAATCTGCGAAGGCAGGACTGCGTCAAAAGATTCGTGTGTAAAAAAAAAACTTGTGTGTAAAACGTACTTTTTTTTTTCTTTACACACACACAAATCTTTCTACGCACACACAAATCTTTTTACGCACACACAAATCTTGATACGTACATACAAATCTATTTACACACGCACAAATATTTCTTTTACACACACACAAATCCGGTTACGCACGCACAAATCTGGTTACGCACACACAAATCTGGTTACGCACGCACAAATCTAGTTACGCACGCACAAATCTTTTTACGCACACACAAATATTATTGAAACAATAATAGCTCCATATCTGAGTGGCTGTAGGCGGTGCTCCTTCTCATGTTCCCCAGGCATATTCTCTCCTGGTCGCCTGTCTCACGCTTCGCCTTACCTGACGCACCCTGGCCCTCATTCTGACCGGGCCCTTGTGCGTTGGTTTTTGGGGGTCCAGACATCTCCTATCGAACATCAATCTTCCCGGGTAAGTGTACTTCATGAATCTCATTTTCACCTTCTAGTCTCCCCAAGTGGAATCATGTTCGAATATCAGCGCTCTAAACACCAGCAGTTCATCCTTCATTCAGCATTCTCCTTTCCCTCTCACTGCACACTCTCAGTCTCTGGACACCAGCATCGCGGGTACTGCCGTCACTGCCTCATCTACATCGGCATTAAATACATTCTCTAAAATCCACTTCGAGTCACACTGCTCCACCCTCATAAGAAGATCCTTAAAGGAGTATTGGCAATGGTCCTTGTTCTGTAGTTTAGGTCCTGGACGACTAGCCTGTTTGTCCGTGGAGTGGATCCCTCTCTCAATGTAGGGTCTTCTGAAGGTTTCTCACTTTTTTCCCCACGGGGTTTTGTGAGTTTTCCTTGCCATGCAGGAGGGTCTGGACAGTTAGTGTCCAACTAGAAGGCCCGTGGTGATGATCCAGGATACTTTACATTCTACAACATGTATGGACATTTTATCAACATTCATAGACTATAATTACTCCTTAAACAATCCCTTGACGACCCCCTGATCTGAACAAATTCAAAACCTGCGCTCCCTGCATGTAACCTCTCTTCCTTTCTCTACATCCGCCACTCCTTCCGGATAGGAGCAGCCACTTGGGCTGCTGCCCTGGGACTCCCTCAATCATCTCTCCAGGAGCTCGGTCCCCGGTTCTCTACCACATTCATCCGTTCTGGCAGCCCAGCGCCTCCTCTCATATAAGTACGTATGCATCTCCTGGTGGTGGCAACTCCTCATTCCAGCATGCCGAGCTCGTGCGCGTGCCAACGCCTAGCGCTAGAGCCGAGCTCGCGCCCGGACATTACGCCGCTCACTCGAGCCGAGCTCGTGCGCGTGCCAACGCCTAGCGCTCAAGCCGAGCTCGCGCACGGACATTACGCCGCGCACTCGAGCCGAGCTCGTGCGCGTGCCAACGCCTAGCGCTAAAGCCGAGCTCGCGCACGGGCATTACGCCGCGCACTCGAGCCGAGCTCGTGCGCGTGCCAACGCCTAGCGCTAGAGCCGAGCTCGCGCACGGACATTACGCCGCGCACTCGAGCCGAGCTAGTGCGCGTGCCAACCCCTAGCGCTAGAGCCGAGCTCGCGCCCGGACATTACGCCGCGCACTCGAGCCGAGCTCGTGCGCGTGCCAACGCCTAGCGCTCGAGCCGAGCTCGCGCACGGACATTACGCCGCGCACTCGAGCCGAGCTCGTGCGCGTGCCAACGCCTAGCGCTAGAGCCGAGCTCGCGCACGGACATTACGCCGCGCACTCGAGCCGAGCTCGTGCGCGTGCCAACGCCTAGCGCTAGAGCCGAGCTCGCGCACGGACATTACGCCGGGCACTCGAGCCGAGCTCGTGCCAACGCCTAGCGCTAGAGCCGAGCTCGCGCACGGACATTACGCCGCGCAATCGAGCCGAGCTTGTGCGCGTGCCAACGCCTAGCGCTAGAGCCGAGCTCGCGCACGGAAACAGTCACTCACACCATGCGCCTTCCATAAACCCAGCAACCAAGTCGTGGCAAACGCATCGCTAGCCAAGCTCTCTTTTTGGGGATCATGATCTGCACCCAGGCGCAGATCTCTTCAGAGCACGGCCACAGCCGGGGCCTAAGCTCCAAACCAATAAACAAACTCAATCCATAAAATAAACAACTCTTAAACGCATCTCGTCTCTTGTAGTCTCTCCAGGTTGAAATGCAGCTGAAGCGGAGGTTCAGGATGGTAGACTACCTACGTTATCACACCAGGCTTGACCACGCCTTACTCAGCCTGTCTTAATCAACTCCCCGCAGCCGTGTCAATCAAGCCAGCGTTTAAGAGAACAGCAGAGCACAGCTCACCAAACGGACTTCAAGCTGCAACCACCTCCTCCCCACCTCTGCCTCAGGATTTCTTCACTCTCACATTCACCTTGCCTTGTTGCCACCACGAGTGTCTAGGCCCCGGGGGATCATCATCTGCACCCAGGCGCAGATCTCTTCAGAGCACGGCCACAGCCGGGGCCTAAGCTCCAAACCAATAAACAAACTCAATCCATAAAATAAACAACTCTTAAACGCATCTCGTCTCTTGTAGTCTCTCCAGGTTGAAAGGGAGTTTTTGTTTTTGGAGTGAACAGAGTTCACCGGAGAATGCAGAGTTTTATCTAAAGTTGAGCTATGAGAGCTTTTGTGAGTTATTTACATTTTTTGCCGAGTTTTATCTACAGAGGGTTGTATCCAACAGTTGTTTTTGTTTTTTAGAAAGATATTTTGAGTTCAAACTAGTTTGCTACCTCGATAGAATAGAAGCGGAAACGTTAAACACTAAGAGTGCCTTTTGTTACAAGTGTTGAAATTGATCATTTCTAGACTTGGATGACAAAAGTTTAAAGAACAACATCAGTTATATTTGCTTAAAAAATAATCTTGAAAGTTCTTCTTCTGTATCTTTCTGCCTGTGTGTGCACATCTCTATCTTGCTGCCGTTGTCAGGGGAAACGGCCCCCTCCTTCGCTACTCTGGCTCTGAATCAAAACAAACCTGCGTTTAGGATTTTTGGCTTTTCATAGTTGTTATTCCGTTAAATTTGCTAAATTTGCCATTGAACATTGTGTTATGACACAGTTAAACGTTTTTAAACACCATTAGTAAATAAGTTTTGAATATTTTATGTTTTTTGAAACCCAAATATTAGTGCTAAAGCTGTGCAATTCTTTTTAGACCTAACATATTTCTAGATTCCATTCTTTTAAATCTGCTGCTTATTTCTTAACTTTTTGTGAGTTGTGTTTGTTTTTATGTTTTTATTTTAGTTACAAAAGCCGTTTTTCAAACATTTAAATTAGAATCTGTGTTAAAAGTGATTATTGATTATAGACTTCGTCTAAAAAGAAAGAGGGAATTAGGATTAGCTGTAAAAGTATTATATTGAGTTCTACCCAATTCACATTGCAAGCGGTTTTTTGTTTTGACTATGCACCTGACCTTACTCCTGCTGCTGATGCCACAGCACAGAGAGCTCTGAAATGTGCTCCAATTCATATTGACTTAATTTGAAAATTCTGCAATTATTTTAAATTAGTAGAAAATATGCTGAGATAAATGTTCAAGTGAAAAAGGGAAAGTCCATAAAGTGAAACCCAAGAACGCATAGATAATTAAACACACAGTACAAAAGTACATAATACACATTTTTTAAAGTTTAAAAGGTTGTTTGTTTTGAGTATAATTGTTGTTTTTATAACTTTTATAACTTCATCATTAGTAAGATAGAAAGTAATCTTTATTTACATAGCACATGTGGGAAAGCCAAGAGCGCTCCAAAATTGTTTAGACTTTAGAGAGAAAAACAATCTCATTCACATACTGATATCTGTTGTTTTTAATTTGACTATAAGGTTGTGTTCCAGGACCAAGGGCACACACTGTACTGGACTGCGGGAGTGGACACAGAGCTCAGACCACAGGAGCCCAGAGTAGACCCACCCAGAGCAGGCCACAGAGCTAAGAGCAAAAGGGCAACAATGCCACCTCTACGCCCCTCCCCCCACTACAGAAGTAAGTGGGAGTGAGACCGGGGCCATGAAAGTGGAGGTTTCTGGAGGCAGAGATGGGTGGAGGCCTCAGGTAGAGACCTAGAGGCAGTTGAAAGTGTGTCCACGTGGTTAAATCGACACAGTGTGACCTTTGAGATCTACAGGTGGTTCGAGGAGTCTGGAGACACAACCCCAAAATTCACACCCTCTATGGTTAAGTCATTTTGTCCACACCCTCTATGGTTAAGTCTGTCCTGACACACACACATACACTCACACATTCACATTTACATATAGATACATGAAAAAGCAGAACCTGAGAAAAAAGCATTTTAAAAGTTTACTCCAATGTAAACAAATATTTTTAATTGTCTATCGCTTGAATCTTTAGTTGAATCAGTATTTTTTGAGACCAGAAATGTTCATTTGAATTCTATATTGTCATGGACTTAATTGACGTCTGTCCTGACACTTTTGATTTGTTGATTTTGTACTGTGTGAAGTAATTACATTGATTGATTCTGATAAAAACACAAATTAGAGAAGTAAACTGAATCAGTGCGCTTGCTTTTGTCTAAGGGACATTAGCAACAGCATGAATAGAAATAGTCTTTAAAGTAGAATCAAAATGACTTAACCATAGAGAGTAACTACTGCATAACAAGCTGTGTACAGGAACTGTGACACTGCACCATTGACCAGAAGTGCATCGCAAATGACCTGATGTGCTTCAAGTGAAAAGACTGTATCTGGAGATCCGATGTGCATCTGGAGAGACCAAACCATGGCTTGGACCCAACTGATGTCCAAGATGACATCTCTCGAAAAATGACCTGACCTGATGACGACTGAGACTCACCCTCAGGGGACCCTGAGGACCTGAGGATCTGAGAGAGAAAAACCTGGGGAGTGATGTTTATATTAGTGAAATAATGCCATGGATGAGTGCTAAATGAGACAGATACTCATGATTCTTTCTTTTGTTTTTGTTTGTCCCTAGCTTCTGGACATCTGATGATCTATTGGACACAGCCATTTGCAGAACAAGAACCAGCCAATGAGAAAACGTCTATTGCCGATGCTATTGCTACAACCAGAACCACAACTGTGACCAAATGCAATATACATGTTAAGTATTCAGACATCTGACAGACAAAAACTTTGACTTTTTAGTCTGGGAGACTGAGCAACTGTTAAAATGTTTTAAAATGATAAAGTATGAGTATTGTAGCGTTTTAGTAGATGTTAAATAGTAGTAAAAAAGTAGAATTTGATTTCCTTTGTTGTTCATAAACACATTTCCACATAAGAGCTAAAATAGTACCATACAATGTTATCCTTCTGATAGAGCAGCTAAAATATTAGAATCAGAGTTATTTTAGAGATATTAAAAGTGACAGAAGTCACAAACTAGAAATATGCCTTGGCTCAAGCTGCAACCGAGCTTTAGAGTCACAATAGAGTAAAAATAGGAATAGATAAATGCATCAACCATAGATGCTTTCAAAAATAGAGAATATTTCTAGCATATTAACCATTTGTCTTACTGTGTTCTCAGTTTTATTCCTGAGAATGTAGAATAGACTTTGAGCAAAATCCCACTGATAATAAGCCACTGATAATGAGAGTGTAATACCACAGAGAGATTTATTAGATTAAAATGTATGTTTAAGAATATGGCTCAATAGAAGCAAATATGCAAACATATTTGTAAATAGATTAGAATAGTTTTAAACTATAGTGATAATGAAAGTAAAGTACACAGTCTAAGATTAAATAGTGAAAATAATACAGTGAAATAAGTGAAGTATAAACAATTAGCATTAGAATAAAAGTATAGAGTAAGAAAAGTTAAATTAGCTTCAAATTTGAGACTCAGCTCGTTCTTGTCTGTGTTTTGACTGAATCTGCTGAGTTCTTGTGTGTCCAATAGTGTATGTTTGTTTTTATTTTTGTTTGTTTTTGTTTTTTGTTTATTTATTTACTTTATTTTTGTTTGTTTTTTTCCCAGGATAGAGGATAAAATCCACTGATGTTGATTTTGATGATTATGAGTTTTAATAATTTTTAAACGTTTTTTTTTAGAATTTTCTGTTTGTTTTTTTTTTCCTTTTCTCACTTTATTGATTGATCAAATTGAGTGATCACATGTGATTATGTGATCAAAGGGGAGGGTGTTAGTATTAGATAGCAATATGGCCTACGTGCAGGACTCTACAAGGACTCCATGTTATGACTATGATGTGACTGTCTCTTTGTGACACGTATGTCTTTCGATGTGTGACGTGACAATGACTATATAAACTGTGTACTGCCTTTATTCTGTCTGAGAGAAAGAGACAAAGTAAACCAGTGGAACTTGAGAGAAACTTAAAAAAACTTCCAGAGTTTGGCGCACCACGATCCGTCTCTGTCTGCTAAATCCTTGACACTGTAATTAACAGCATAAAGAGGCTATCCGCTTTTAATGTGCGGACCGCTTTACCACTGACTCCGAAAAGCCGGACCTCTTTACCGCGGTGGCCACACGGAGGACGTAAACTGTGGGTGACTGTGGACTATTGTGGCGCGGACTCCTGTCACTAATAATGTCTGTATCTGCTTCACTGGAGACCTGCGTGTCTTCCTCCTCTGAATCTGAGTGAGCCAGTACCAAATACTTCTCTGATCTCTGGAGACCTCTGGCTCTGCTCTGGCACCGCTCAAAACTACGGCTCCTGCTTCGCGTCGCTGCGCCGCAGGTGTTTTACAAACTCATTTTACTCTAATACTTTGAATATAACCATTCCCACAAAGGCCGCTCATATTGAAGGCACACATGTCCACCAACTCCTCGTGAAAAGTATCAACAAAAATTACTGCAATAAACGTGTGTGGTTATTATTATTTTTTTCTGGGGCATTGGACCTTCTATGTTTTAGAAAAAATGTAAACGTTAACAAAATCAAAAGTGTCTCAGCCTGTACTTGAACCCAGGTTCTCTGGCACCACAGTCCAGCTCCTTATCAATGAGCTATAAACCCACAGAAAATCGTCCGGTGAAGAGAGAATAAGGCAATGTTGCTAACCCTGCTCACAAGTGCCACCTGGTGGTTGTTTGGGTCATTGCAGCATCACTGGGGGAAAAACAAATAAAAGACGCGTGTTTCACACGTGAGTCTCGTGCTATTCACGCGTGAAAGGCGACAAAACGAAATGGGACCTACTGTAGACGTTGTTCAATGTCTGCCATCCAGCGGTCCTTATTGTCACGCACCAGCGACATGGAAACCCTTGCCTGTATTGAAATTGAGAAAAGTCATGAGTCGTGGCTTAGTTAAGCGAGGATGCCTGGCTTATTGGCTATTATACACCACACATAATACAGGATTACACTTACCGCTTTTTTTGTGACGAGACGCTTTGCTGTTTTGCCTTGCCGCAAAGATGATGCTGGCGAACGTTTGCCTGGAGTCTGTAAGAAACATTGCCAAAGACATTAGAAGCTGTAGCATTGTTTAATATTACATACTCCTAGGGCCTAATAACATTTACATTTAACATTACATTTAACAACTGTTAGTAGAGTTGTTGGATTTTCATTAAAGTGAATTAGAATATATTCAAAGTTTAGACAGTTTTGAGTTAACCTATGTGTGTGATGGGATGTGATGGCCGCATCAGCAGCATTTTCCCATCCCCCCAGTCATGAAACACAGGAAGTTAAATTAAGAAGAGCGCAGAGAACATCTGTTTAGAGTAGCCTCAGGCTTATTCACACAGGGGCTATTTGTTTGTCCTGAAACAGAGAAGGTATTGTCTTCACCTAAGGATGTTGGGACATGTGTTTCATATTATCAGGGTATAAGACGAGAGCTTTTTGGTTCATTCTTTGTCACTCTGCTGCTTTCCATCCAGCAGACACCCAGACTAGACTGTAGTCTGTAACATGTCTATGTGTGTGATGTCCAGAACACTGACTAGTTTTTTCACATATTTTGGTCCTTCTTGCGCCGGATGCCAACATGCTTTTCTGCGGAACTGAGGATGCCTCAAACATGGAGTTGGAGCAGCGGTGAGACCTTCTTCATTCAGAACTGCTTTGAGGACTCCATCTTTGAGGCATGGCCAGTCTCCGGATTGAAGTTGACGGCAGAACTAGAGTTTCTGGACATCCACATGGACAAGGTAAAACAATTTTTTTCTAAAAAAAAGAAACTAAATTTAAATCGTCTTTGAAGGCAGAAAATCCAATTTATCTTCTCAAAAAGCATTGGGGCAGTGAGATATCACGCACTTCTAAGAAAGTGGAGAATTTAAACTTCTATCCACTGGGACTTTTGAAGTCGGGGACTCAAAAAAGAGGCCGCGGATAACGAGGCTTATCCTTTTAATAGTCGATGGCTATTTCTTAGGCCTAGGATAACGAGGCTTATCCTTCTAATAGTCGAGGAGCTATTACAAATTCAGCACTATGGACGCATACGTGTAGTTGGAAAACCAGATCTGGCCATTTGAGGGAAAATGGAACATTTTGAGAGTGGTGATTTTTTCTTCAGCTGATTAGTGACTTTTTGGTAGAACTTTGTGGTAGCCTGCATAATAAGACGACAACAATTTTTCTAAATAATAATTTAAATTGGAAATTGAAATTTGGATATAAGGCCTAAAGTGTGCGTGTGTGTGTGCGTGCACGTTTGAGGTGCATCCTTTGTGTCCCCTTCTGCCTTTTCCCCTCTTCCCCCCCTCCCTGTTCCCCCTCTTCCCCTCTTCCCCCTTCTCCCTTGCTCCCAATTCTGTCCCTCCCGTCTGCTCAACTCTAGTTGGGTGGAGTAATAAGTTTTTTATAGTTTAACTACTTTTGATAATGCTAGCTACATTAACAAAAATAATTCAAAAGGGGTGGAACCAGTGATAAACATTTTACTGGTGAAAACATTTGGTAATGAGATTAGAGAATCATAGATAGATTTGAATTGACTTGAGCTGTGACATTTTTGTGATTGGACAATTTTAAAGTTACAACATTTGGTACAAGCTCAAAAGGGTTAGGCTGAAGCTGAATTAGATTGATGATAAATAAGACTCAAAGTTTGCTCAGATTTTTGATTTTTGTTTGCTTATGATCACAAAAGATGGTATTTTGTGCACACAAGTAGACTTTTATGTTAATTTTTGGGTTTGATTTGGAGTTTTTGTTTGTTTTGTGAGTAACTGTCTTTATGTGTAAGATTTAACAGAAAAACATTTCCTCTTATGTGAGTAGTATTTGTTTGTTACTTCAGGTTTTGCATGTAAGTGTTTGTTTTCTGTGTCTAGGACTTAACTGACTGAACTAACGGACTATAAAATAGGAATAAACATCAGGACTAAAATATTATTTCACAAATAATATGAAACAATATTAGGGTAAAATCAACAGAATTGTCAACTAATATTTTGTTCTGTTTCTGAGTTTGTTTCTGTCTCAGCTGGGAGAGGGACGTCTGGGGACAGTGTTTGGTTGTTCCCGGCACAGCATCGGTCACATGCTTCACCTCACTCCAACCAGAGAGACAGGTCTAAGAGCAGGAGGAGGGGGAGAGGCATCGGCAGAGGTGCTGTGGATGGGAACGACGAATCAGACGCCTAAGAAGTCCTCTCTGACTGATGCTGACTCAAACAATCAGATAAGTGGGAAACACTCTGAAAATAAGCAGTTTAATTTTTCAGATTTGAATAATAAATATGTTTAGTTTCATTTGAAAGGTTTAAATTCAACAGTAAGGGAAGTTACTGTAGCATGTTTAATGTTTACATCAAAGAAATGTAAATCTGTTTGATTCTGAATATAACTAGTTATACATTATTTCAATAGTTAATTGTGATGTTTTCATTTCTGAGACAAGAAAATTACAGTAATAGGACTGTTTTCAGCAACAGTTTTCATTAACTGCTAAGGTTTTCCTTTGGGTTTACTGAACTAAGTTTGAAATGTATTAACAAATGTGTACTTTGTGTGTTTTGTTTGAGGGAAACACCTAAAACACCACTTTTGATGCTCAAAAAGCTCAGAGTTCATTCCTGTGAAGGAGATGCCCACTCCCACCCCCACCAATCATCAACCAGCAAACCAAGCCAAACCAAGCCAAACCAGCAGGCCAAACCAAGGCTAAATGCTGCAACGACAGAAGCAATGATGCAAAGGGTCAGCTAGAGGTCAGACTCAAATCAACAACTTGACTGTGTGTGTTTGGGACATTTTGCAGATTTCCAAAACATCTGAAAGACTGGGTTGACCGAAGACATCACCTTTGTGCAAAGATCTGAGGACTGGAGGTTTCCAGTTTTTGCTGTCGGTTCTAAAGTGTGTGAACAGGACAGAGGCTTCTGGACATGATGGGGCTGTGCAGGATGGTGCTGGACATTGCTGGCTGCAGAAGACATTGGGGTGTGGAGGCGTTTCTACAACAGGCGTTACTGGACAATAGGCTTTTTGGTGTGGGGTGTAATTTGTTGACACATTTCAAGTTAATACATTTCAGGTGAAAACATTTCAAGTTAATACATTTCAGGTGAAAATATTTCAGGTTAAAACATTTCAAGTTAATACATTTCAGGTGAAAATATTTCAGGTTAAAACATTCCAGGTTAATACATTTCAAATGAACGTTTAGTTTATACAGTGTGATGCTACATTAATTTACATGAGTAAATTGGGTATTTGTGTCTTTTTCATTTCATACACATGAATAATTAGGAATTATGTTTAGTTATTGAGCCATTTTTAATGTCTCAAACAGGGGGGAGATATGGTTTATAGGGGAGCAATTACATATGAATATGAAATGATCTCTAAAAAACTTTTTTGAGTTCTTTTGTGTGTGTGTTTCTGTAACCAATGTGATTTTTATAAGACACATGTCGAGAGGGGTCTTTAAGTTGAGTCGATGCAACTTGGATTCAAATGTAATACTGTGTTTGTATTAACTTCATTGTGTTCCATTTTTAAGTTGGTTTACTAAACATTGAATGTGATTAATTCTTTTAATGAAAAAAGGAGGGAATGTTAGTAGAGTTGTTGGATTTTCATTAAAGTGAATTAGAATATATTCAAAGTTTAGACAGTTTTGAGTTAACCTATGTGTGTGATGGGATGTGATGGCCGCATCAGCAGCATTTTCCCATCCCCCCAGTCATGAAACACAGGAAGTTAAATTAAGAAGAGCGCAGAGAACATCTGTTTAGAGTAGCCTCAGGCTTATTCACACAGGGGCTATTTGTTTGTCCTGAAACAGAGAAGGTATTGTCTTCACCTAAGGATGTTGGGACATGTGTTTCATATTATCAGGGTATAAGACGAGAGCTTTTTGGTTCATTCTTTGTCACTCTTCTGCTGCTTTCCATCCAGCAGACACCCAGACTAGATTGTAGTCTGTAACTTGTCTGTTTGTGCTGATGTCCAGATAACCTGTAGTTTTGAACCAGCGGCTGACAACATGTATTAAAGAGATTATGTTGTTGAAATGTGACTAGTTTATTCACAACAACGTACCCGTTGTTTCACCACGGCTCGAGGTGAGTTTTCGTTCCGTGGGAAGAGAGTCTTGGCGACTCTGGAAGAGCGTTCGTGGTAAAAACCTTTGGCTTCCATGCTCCCGAAATACTGTAGTAGGACCTCTGTTAACCCTTTAGGCGCCAGAGTTTTTTCAAGAAAATATACAATTTTGATTTCAAGATTTCAAAAGGCTTTAACTTTAAAATGGTTTGAGATAAAGGCATACTGTAAATTAGAAATATCTTCAGTTTGAACCAAACTTTGGGATGGAAGTTGATTCGTAATCTAATTTGCATATTGTGACGTTATCAAGGTGGCGGCCATTTTGGAAAATGTTAATTATTGTATAAAAACTTCAAAAAGCTGTATCTTGGGAGTTTTTTTAGATCAGGGAATACTATAAACAGTCAGTGTGAAATAGATAGATTATAGATAATGCGACAGTAGCTCAGTTGGTAGAGCATCGGCCTCAAGGCCAGAAGGTCGTGGGTTCAATTCCCACCTCTGCACCTTCTCCACCGACTCCCACTGATGACTGCTGTCGTTGTGTCCTTGGGCAAGACACTTAACCCCACTTTGCCCAAAGCCCCCACTGAAAGATCAAGGCTATGCTCACACTCAGAGAGCAGCCGTCCTCCTGTGGACTCACCACCTGCAGAGGGTCAGTGAGGGGCTGGTGCTATGAGACTTGGGTGGCATCTCTGACTGCCACCCCCTTGACCCAGAAATGGATTAAAGGGTAGAAAATGGATGGATGAAAGGAATTTGGGATAGAAATAAATTCCCTGATCCAGATTATAGATAATGTTTTAGCACTGGTTCGCGGCCATACGGAATTGTATTATTTTCAAAGACCTTCAGTGATCAAGACAGCTCTCTTTATAGTTTACAGTCATGAAATCTGGAGTTTGGTTTCAATGTTTCCCTTTCAAAGAAGTGGTGGGCTTACTATTTTTCTCGGTGGAAATGAGGCTCCTGGATTTATGGTTTAGAAACAGAGAGATGAAATGAATGGGCTCAGAACATGTCAGATCGTCTCAACAAGAAACAACAGGCTCTTCAACACTTCTGATCCACTTATTTTCTCTCAAGAACTGCCTTGATCCTCATCATCGCTGTTGGTAAAGGCAGTGAACACGATTAGCGATGTGTTTTTATTCCCGCGGCTCTCCCGCGACTTCTCCCGCGTCTCCCGTGTTCCCCGTGGATGTTTACCCCCGCTACTTTCTCCCACATGCCCGGTGTTATGATGCCCCTGTACCCTCGACCACAGCCCCTGCTTGGCGTTCACAGAATGCTTCTACCACGGCCACACGGAGGACAAGCAGCCGCTGTACAGGGGCTGATTGTGGACTATATGGCGCGGTCTCCCCGTCACTAATAATGTCCGTGTCTGCTTCACTGGACACCTGCGTGTCTTCCTCCTCTGAATCTGAGTGAGCCAGTACCAGACCAAGTACTTCTCTGGTACTGAAGACCTCGTGAGTAAAATAAAAACCCTCTTTCCCTCTGCTCTGCTCTCGCTCCTCTCAGCCCTACCGCTGCTGCTTCGCCTCCGCGCTGCTGCGCCGCAGGTGTTTTACGAACTCAATTTACTCAAAAACGTTCAATATAACCACACCCACAAATGCTGCTCATATTACAGGCACACATGTCCACTAACCCCTGGTGAAAAGTATTAACAAGATTGTGCTCCACATTTTTACATACATCCTGTTTAAGTGAGCAATGTTGCTTGTCGCAATATTGCGACTTTGGCGCTTAAAGGGTTAAGGACATGTCTATATATACTCATACCCGTCGCTATGGGCGGGCCATAGGGGGCCGTGCCCGTCCCCCAAGATGCTTGTGCCCCCCCAGCCAGTGGTCTATAGTCCACGTGATATATACACAGGTACAGTATGGGCCATATTCCCCCCTCCCCCCACAGACACACACACTCTCTCGCTCTCTCTGGTGTGCGCTGGTTTAATGCGAGACACGGCAGGTGAAAGTATTGATTTTTCACGCAGTGGTCGAAGTGGAGATTTGTATCTATTTTTCCTCCCTTTACATCTTATTTTTCATGTCAGAGAATAAAAATGACAAAACCCATCCTGCATGATGCTTATTTTATGATGATTTGTCCTAGCCTGATTTATTCAGCTTTGAACCCAAAAAAACAGGCGGAATTGGAGTTTTTACAGATTTGTTCATTATGATCAGTCAATTGAAAAACAAAACAAATCCTATCTGCTAAAATCTTAGTTACTAATATGCAGTGATGGGCAGTAGCCACACATTTTAATCTGGCGCAATCCATTATTTTTATTCCGTTGCCCAAAATATAGGCAATTCTGGCCATTTTTATGAACAACATGTTAAAGGAACTGAACTGTATTGAACTAGATTGACCACAGGAATGTCGAAAATCCAGTTCTTCCTCACATATGCAAAACATCTTATCTCGTGATTGGGACGGGACCGGGTAAAAAACACAGGGAGTGGGCGGTAGGGGGAGGGAGGTGTGTGTAAAAATCAAGATAAATAGTTCAACCGATGGCCTATTTACAGTAGATGTCAGCGATGGCTGTGATCTCTCTGCGTAAGAAAGGCTGTACGACTAGCACTATCGCCAAACACTTGGCCACAACTGGAATAAGAGCTTCCTTGCGAACTATCCAGCGTCATTGCCGATGTGCTGTTGTGGAGAAGAAGAAGGAACGCAAGCCACGTAAAGTGACAAGGTAAATGTACTTTTTATTATTTAAATATATACTCAAGTTTGTAAGTTTCACATGTGAACAAAATAACAACAGGCTTTACCAAACTATGTACTGAAACAATGTGTCTCTTTCAGTCAGGTGATGGAAATAATAGACTCCATCCTGAGAACAGACGATGAACTACCAGCAAGAAAAGTAAAAGAGCTTCTCCAAAGCAGGCACAACATAACGATCGGCTTACACTCGGTGCGAAAGGCAGTCCGGACTCATGGCTGGAACTTTGGAAAGCCCAGGTAACACGCGTCTCTTTATTAATTACTTATCGTGATAACCGGGCACTCAACATGTCATTCTTATAGTAACATTTTGATAAATTCTGCTTACAGATTCGTTCCAATGACCAGAGGAAAAAACAAAGATTTGCGTGTAACCCAAGCTCAAGAATGGAAGGCTGCTGGTGAAAAGTTTGATGATGTTCTCTTCACTGACGAGTCAACTGTGGCACTGGAACGTTTTGCCTTGAAGTGCTGGAGAAAGACCAACTTCAGGGGCATTGCAAAACCAAGAGTGAAGCACCCGGTCAAAATGCATGTTTGGGGTGGAATTTCTCGATGGGGACCTGGTCCGTTGGTCATTTTTGACGGTGAGTGATGAAGTTTTGAAAGCAATGCATGCAAAGTAGGCTATGCTAAATAGATTGTTACAATATGCTAACATATTATTTAAACCCGCAGGTATAATGGAAGAAATCATCAAAAAAGCTGCCGGTCCATACTTAAGGGAGCATTTCCGTATGTCTACACATAGATTCTTCCAAGGTAGGCTAACAATCTGTATTCCAAATCTTCAGCATGATTATGACAAAAGCAACCTCGTGATGATTAGGCTACTAATGTTTGTTTAATGATTAAGTTGTCCTCCTAATTTGTCCTGTTTGATTTTTTAAGACAACAATCCAAAACACACAGCAAAAAGTGTCAAAGCCTGCATTCAAAGTGAGGGGATCAACTGGGTACCGACACCGGCAGAGTGTCAGAGTGAGTTACCGTAGTTATTTTTATATATATATATATATATATATATATATATATATATATTCTGGATGAATACATGCTGTATCGGAAAATAGGCTAACAGTGCTGACATGTCCATGTCCATCCATCCATCCATTTTCTTCCGCTTTATCCGTTGCCGGGTCGCGGGGGCAGCAGTCTAAGCAGAGACGCCCAGACTTCCCTATCCACACACACTTCCTCCAGCTCGTCCGGGGGGACCCCAAGGCGTTCCCAGGCCAGCTGAGAGACATAGTCTCTCCAGCGTGTCCTGGGTCTTCCCCGGGGCCTCCTCCCGGTGGGACGTGCCCGGAACACCTCCCCAGGAAGGCGTCCAGGAGGCATCCTGAACAGATGCCCGAGCCACCTCAACTGGTTCCTCTCGACGTGGAGAAGCAGCGGCTCTACTCCGAGCTCCTCCCGTGTGACTGAGCTCCTCACCCTATGTCTAAGGGAGCGCCCAGCCACTCTGCGGAGGAAGCTCATTTCGACCGCTTGTATCCGCGATCTCGTTCTTTCGGTCATTACCCACAGCTCATGACCATAGGTGAGGGAGGGAACGAAGATTGACTGGTAAATCGAGAGCTTTGCCTTTCGGCTCAGCTCCCTCTTTACCACAACGGTCCGATACAGAGACCGCATCACTGCGCAAGCTGCACCGATCCGCCTGTCAATCTCACGCTCCATCCTCCCCTCACTCGTGAACAAGACCCCGAGATACTTGAACTCCTCCACTTGAGGAAGGACCTCTCCACCCACCTGAAGAGGGCAAGGCACCTTTTTCCGGTCGAGCACCATGGCCTCGGATTTGGAGGTGCTGATTCTCATCCCAGCCGCTTCACACTTGGCTGCAAACCGTCCCAGTGCATGTTGCAGGTCCTGGTTCGTTGGAGCCAGCAGGACGACATCATCCGCAAAAAGTAGAGATGAAATCCTGTGGTTCCCGAACCGGACCCCCTCCGGCCCCTGGCTGCGCCTAGAGATTCTGTCCATAAATACAGTGAACAGAACCGGTGACAAAGGGCAGCCTTGGCGGAGGCCAACATGCACCGGGAACAGGTCTGACTTACTGCCGGCAATGCGGACACAGCTCTGGCTCCGGTCATACAGGGACCGAACAGCCCTCAGCAGAGGACCCCGGACCCCGTACTCCCGGAGGACCCCCCAAAGGACACCCCGGGGAACACGGTCGAACGCCTTCTCCAAATCCACAAAGCACATGTGGACAGGTTGGGCGAACTCCCATGAACCCTCGAGTATCCGATGGAGAGTATAGAGCTGGTCCAGTGTTCCGCGACCGGGACGAAAACCACACTGCACCTCCTGAATCCGAGATTCG